GAGTCCCCGAAAGTGTTTTGTTTCAAGAAGAAATAAAACCAAAATTAAGAGTAAGAAATATCTTTACTTCTTGCTTTTCAAATTTATATGTCATACTGTGTTGTAGTCTCCTACAAAATGCATAATTCTCCTCGAGATTCATGCGCACGGTTTACTGGCGTCACGACAGTACAAATTGAAACGTTAAGCGTCCCTTATGTGAAGTTATTTTAGTGTCCACTGACTGACTGACAGACAACACATTACTGTATAGTGGTGAGAGTGGTTGAAACAGATGACCCTCCAGAGTAAGTATACAATTAATTATTTTGACTGAAGCTACTTTAGGGCAGTAATAATCTATAAAGGTATAGCAGAAATTAAGAGTTCAGATGTGTTAACCTAAGATTTTCTAAGAATTTATGTGTCAGGCTATAAAACATACATTTTTTATCATGCTAATGATTATACTTGCTGTAGTTACACTCATAAACTCAGTTGGAAATCGTAGCACAAGTCATACAATTTGTTGATTCATCACATGGTCAATTAAGTTCAATTCAGTTGTCGCCTAACTGTTCAATGAATAATTTATAATGAAAAAATATAACCGTATAATCTGTAGGTGTCATTCCTTCATTTTTCAAGCATAATATCTAAGAGTAAATCACTCTCGTTTTCTAAGTGTAATTTTATATTAGGAAAACAAAATCGCTGATAAAAATTGAAAGTCATTTTATAGTTGTATACAAGTGACATATTTTGAAAAAACGCAAATTAATACAGCTTAAGTTACGTTAGATATGGTGGTTGTTTTCAACCTTCTCTGTTTAGAAGCGGTATCATCTAGGACATATTTGTTTGTTTACGTAAACGACATCTTATGTACATAGTGGGTTAAACTGTTAGATCAGAGACTCCTATAGATCAGACATCCTGAATTTTGAATTGCAGACCAGAAGAAACGCAACCAGTCGGAAACATTCAACTCCCGAAGCGGATGTTCTTAACCGAATAGAAGGATTCATTATATTTTAACGCAACCACATTTGAAAGTCCAATACATTAACCGCTAGTCTAAGATCAGTCTCTCCTCTATAGCAAAAAATAATAATACACTTACAATAGTTACCTGTGTTGTGACTAAAAATCTCTGTATTTATTATATTGTTTTCAAATCACAGTATTTATTTACTAAACAAATAAAGGGCACTACATCAGTATAAACAGTTTGAACATTATATATAAATAAAATTTTTAGTTAAAGTATAATTGAAGTATACATAATGAAATAAACAATAAACCAGAACAATAGTGAAACATTCTACAATTACGTTATTCATAAAACACAACAACAAATATCAAATTCTCATGAACTTTAAGAAATCGTTATGCTTCAAACAACTGTTTCTGGACTTGGAAACGTACATTTTAAACGTTTTATAACAATTCAAGGCTCATTGCAAGAAACTTCGGAACTGACTTGATATAGTAACCAGAGGTAATATATGCTTAAATGTTGGTTTAAAAAATTGTCCAGAAACTATTTGAAATCTCGATTCTACTATATTTTTTATCGATACTGTTTCAACAACAAAAGTACTGGCACGATTTACCCATTATAATTTTCATAGTTATATCTAAAACGGTCACTAAGACGTCAGTTCCCCAGCATTGAAACAATAGTAATCTGTAATTACAAGGTAAGACGGCCACCTTAACCTTGAATACAGTTTTCACCAATTAAGATGAATGTCATGGAAAAGCAAAAGGTTCTAAAATAAATTATATTTTGATGTCATTTCTAGTTAGAACAAAAACGGGACGTAGTTCTTTTTTAAGATATTGAAAAAATGCACTTCTTGAGATTCTATCGAACCCTGTAGGTAAAACGGACCAATAAGAAGGGAACAAATGGTACTATCTGACTCATACAAATTGCAGTTCAAGATAGTAAATGCTTTATTTATCAACTGCATTTAAACGCTTTCAGCATGGATCGGGACGGCAATGAACAAGATGCTCATTGTCTAGTACAATGGCGTAAAATAATATGGGTACTAGAGTGGGGGCAATGACGTACATTGTTGCCGAAATCTATGGCGGAAACATACGTTTTTGATGTAGGGTAAGATGGACCCGCGGAAAAGAAGGGGGTACGTCTTAAATAAAACACTTATCATAAAGCAATCATGCATTAGAAGAATATCACTAAACATTAAGGTGTTTCTTTTACATCACATTCGGCCGTCTATATATCCTCATCATTCAAAACCAGCAAAGTGAAATTCCCTGATGTATTTACATTGTAACCATAAAAAAATCAAATTGCTTATTTTAGGTAGGCTTGGCATTGGGAACTCGACTTGCAATCTAAAGTATATTTTTATGCAATAAAGTCATACAGCTTAGAGTAAAATGTGCATATTCTCATAATCTAAATAGGAGCTTAAAAATATTAAATATACATTCGTAGATATAATTTAATTACAGTATGTTGAAGTTACACAAGTAAGGGTACGAAAAGTTTATGTTGGAGAGACTTAAATATATATAAACAATAATTAAGACAATAATCGAAAGTTATTAATTCGTTTATGAATTTTAAACTTAATAAAAATTGTGTCAAACTAAAAATGTCAAACGGTATCCTTTTTATATATTTATACAAGACAAATTCTACATCTGCACTTATAACTGGTCGTTAATAAATAATTAACCTTTGCGTTGTAAAAATTCTACACTGTGCTCACTAACTGTACGTCAACAATTATTATAAATGTACATGCCCATCTTGGATCCAAAAATAAGCGTTGTGTATGTATTCTACTTTGCAAAATTAAAACGCCTGCATAAAAGTATGTGTGAAATGCTATAGAAACTAATATAATGCCAATGGTGTTGGTTAGATACGTAAAGTGTTCATGTTTTTTGTAATTTTGTAAATGGGGATTATATTAGATACTTGCAAAGGTACTTTCAATGGCTTGATGCTAATTGGATTGTAATCCAAGCTATTATTTTCAATTAAAGAAAAACAGATTACAAATGGTAACGAGTTTTTATATACAAATTGCAATGAATGACTATGATACTGTATTTATACGTACATATGTATATTCATGAAAAGGCCTAGCAAAGAGCATTAATTTGTACCATGAATATTTTTTCAGTGCCATTATAAGTTTTAAACAAATGCATGTACTTAGTTTTTGTACATAAAATGAAAAATAATTTCTCAGAGTGAAGCAGTCGATTAAGCGCTATTAAACAATTTACATAACTGTAGTTTCGTAAACTGAAAGAATATTACACGTTTCGGGGTGAATAAAACATTCCACTATTTAAAAAATCAAATTATAATTGATTAGATTATGCTTTTAGAAAAACTGCAGTGGTATATGAACTGCATTAGATAGAGAACTATTATTTAGAAATAGTGGTAGATTTCCCATTTGTTTTTATTCGTTATTAGTTTCAGAGAATATTCTTTATTCTGAATCAGTCCATTACAAGTGTTTTAAAAACAAACTATAAAATTTATTGCGTCTATTTATCAAAAGTATTTATGCTATTATACAAGATTTTAAAGTTTAAATGTTACAACTGCAACTGACATATATCTAGAAGTTTATGCCAACCAACTTCTTAGGTGTACATTATCAGAAATTTCGAAGTACACATTAAATAAATGTTCAAGCCTTCATATTTAAGAGAGTATTTTTATTTAGAATTCTTATATAATATTTTAGATGTTGAAACTTGTGTCGAACATTAGATGATATTTTCCACGGATATTGTAAAATTATTATTTTTTTCTATAAAATTACTGTCAGCACGTACTGTATTTGAAATATATAAATCATTTTATAGAACTACTACTTAATAACCACCAATAATGGGATTGATTAGCCATTTTTGTATCTAATTAATTAAGAAATAACGTATCATAACATATAATTATAAATATAATATAAGCCTCTAGAAATTTAATGCAATTTCTGTCCCTTAAGCTAAACGATTTATAGTTGACATGGCCGACTTGGAATTCTACAAGACAGCAAATTAAATATGATTTTGACACTGACATGTCAGCAAGTCTACATAATGTCAGAAATATTCAATTAATGGTTAGGATATACCTATACAAGAAACAAATTGTACCATCAATTTAATAAATGTTGTTTTATATATATATATATATATATATATTTATAAGAAGAACTAACAGGTGTTATAGGAAAAGATGTTAGTATACAAATTATTTTTATTTTCGTCTAGTGATTTGGTTTCCTTGTTTGTTTATGTGTTTTAAGTAACATTATCGAATATTCAAGCACGTCGTATCGGGCGAGTGATAGTTGATAATAAAAAGTAAAGGTCGAAATGGCATACAAAGGAGAAAAATATATCTTTATTATTATTTGTCTAGTGATTCATAAACTATTTGTATGAACATTTTGTACGTTTATAAATATTTGGTTTCCTTGTTTATTCGTTTATTATCAGTAACGTTATCAAATTTTAAGCACGGCGTCGTACAGGGTGAGTGAGAGTTGATGAAAAAGTAATGTTGAAAAATTGTTGAAGACTATGAAAAAAAATATCATTCTCCCTAAATATCGTATTATAGACTCCATCTATTAAATAAAATCCTATGTACTAAGAACGCAAAATAAGCTATTTGATTTGGAATTGAAAGAGAAAGTGAAGGGTAGAGTTGTTAAATAATATAACCAATTCATATTTACTATGTTGATCACGCAATCTCAGACATTAGACTTGAAAGCAGAGTTGATATTTGAATTATATCTTCCTGCTTGAGACACATTACTTCAAATCGTGTCTTTATTTTGACACTATAACAAGAAATGAATGAATAAATAATTGAGGTTGTGTAGCCACTCGATGGATACTATTATGTGCATAGAGTAAAAGGTGTATACAAATCACTTGAACACAGTGAAACTGTCAAATGCTACATATAAAGGAATCACGGTGGTAGTTGCTATTTTATTTTTGTGATGTTGCATACAAGTTGAGATATTTTACAAGCAAAATTTTCAACTGAAATATTATAAAGGATGTGAGGCCATATTTTTCAACTTTTGTTTTTGAAATTTGACATTACAAAACTACAAATCAATAAAAGATACAAAATAGTATATAACGATACGTTATTATTCTTGGGTCAATCCAAACCGTTTTTAACGATATGTTTTAAAATTTCTAATATCCAATGCAGTAGTTAAAACAGTATAGCACAACTGTAAAACTCACATGCTATCATTCTAATTGTGCAGAATAACAACAGCCTAACAATTTACGCTTATTGCAGTTGTGTTTTAAAATCATTAGGCTTGTGTTTTACTTTGTGAAATCTCTCAACTTGTACACACACACAAAAATATCCATATTTCAGATAACTTCATCTTCCGGCAGAGGGCCTTTTGTAATGGAGATTCGACTAAAAATATTTCCCATTACGATGCAGCAAGGGGCAAGGCACGAATCCAGACAGGTTCGGACGTACATTCGGACAATGTGGCAGTTGATTCTGAAATGACGAATAGCTGGGCCAATACACCAGATATGTTGGAATGACAGAATTGCGAAGCTACAACCGACTGCTAGAGCAATTGGAAAGGCACATAGGATAGTAAGAAACTTGTAGCAGCAATTCTTTGTTCCCGTGAAGAGAAAATAAGCAGCTTTCCACACACAGTCAACAGAGTAGGTGCCCTCTGGTTCGGCAATGATATCATCGAATTCTACCTATTACGAAAATATATATTCATATTCAGAAAGAGTACATGTACTATACGCCCAAAACAAACAGAAAAATTAAACTACAATATAATGGACCATCTGAAAAAGGTAAATTGTGCTTTACTATAAAAAAAAGAAGAAAAAATATACACCATATATATATATATATATATATGAAGAAAAAAAATATATATGGGGTATGCTGTTTTTCAGACTTAATTTCTATTTGCATGCCTTACCTTGGAAGTAAAGTTATAGCGAAATAGAACCAAAAATGATTTAAAATATGAGTAGACATAGACTCTCAAGCTCACAATCTCCCACCTGTATGAACAACATGATAAAACATAAGATATCTAGATCAGTAATTATTAATTTAGAAAGTGAAAAGTATGATTTACCCACGAAACTTCAAAGACATAGTAATTCACCCTACCTCCTTCCTGATCAATAACTGTGAGCGCTTATTTGTATGATTGATTTTATATACCACGAATACTATCTAAAAGGCATGTATCAAATACCAGATATAATCTCAAAGCGAGATGAGCTTGTTAAAATAGAAACAACCTAGATGTATATATATATATATATATATAGTCACTATATCAATCAAGGTATATTTATGTTGTTAGTAAATAAATCTGAAAAAAAAGATTTTTTCATAAATTCTCTTAAATTACAGATATAAATTAGAAACATTAGGAGAATAATTGTCAATAGGTGTCAGGTTTTATATGTATGTTTGGTCCTGAATCCTTACAGTAGGTTTCTGTGACTTTTTGGCGATAAATTTCAACAATATACAAACAGCACACAGTCAACTTGTTTCAGAATAATATATTAAACAAGTCAAATGTTTGTTACACTGTCGGTTACTACAACTGTATCCAGAGCTTTAAATAATCGTCTCTTTTTCGTCAAAGTCCACACAGACTAATTCACTTACTTTAGAACAAGACGAATTATTTTTCTATACTCTGTTACTACAAAATAATTTGTGATAATTTCACTTTATAAATCGCAACTATACGCTTTTTATGGCTAAACTCACAATCACGCAGTCTAGATCTCTTCCTATCTAATTAACTAACTATATCTATATCACTAACTAACTCGAACTAAATTTTGGACGCATATTTATTGCCTGTTAGAGACGTAGAACATTCCACACACTAAAAGATATTACGATACAATAATACAACAATTATCAATTCACGACAATTGAACTACACAAGGTATGATTTGAAAACAATCACGCAAACAAACCTGCAATAAACTATGTTCTAAAAATAAGTAAATTAAACACTCGCGCTATACTTAAACGTGTATATCTAATAATAGGGCTAATTGTCGAGCATCCATAATTGGTTCTAATTTGTTTAGTTTTAATTTAAATACACATGTGAGGCTTGAGAATAGAGGTTCAATCTAATAGATGATGTATTTTCGTTGCTGTTTGGGTCTTCCTGAATAGAGAGAAGTTAAATCTGATATACGGGTATTCATATTGTTGGTAGTTCCTATTTTCATAATTTCTCTCGTACAAAGGTACATTTAGCTTTTCGTAATTGTAGTTGCTACCCTCAAATTATTTGTCTGTCTTTTATGCGCGACGCTGTTTTGTTTTGGGCCTAACTTTTGAGATTTAACTTGTGATATACAAAATACATTTTGGCTCTGATAATTTGATCTTGTTTAATGTTAAGAAACACGTTAACTGTGTTATTATTAACACGTGGATTCTTGCCTATTACAAGAGACCGTACTTTGTTTACAACGCCTGTAATACGACTTGTTTCTCAATAGTCTAGATTGCCCAAGTTGATCCATAATCCTTGGTTTTTTTCCTGTGCCATTAAGTGCACTGGATATTTCCGTCTTGGAAATTCTAAATCCTCCACCTGAACATGCCCTTATCATTTGAGTATATGAATATGTTGAGTCGAAAAGGCTGTTACATAAATCAATTTTCGGTGTCATCACACTATTCACGTAATGCCAAGCAATGTAATAATATAGTTCTAATACATGTCGTTCCATCGTGTTTACAACGCTAAAATCAGGGGTTTGATTCTCCTTGACTCTATATATAGACTCTATATAACTGAAATGTTTCGAATTAATGAAAACGAAAGCTTTATTTAAAATTATAGTAATTTTAGTTATCAAAATTCCTGGTCTCCGATGGTATTCAGTTTTGATTTCCTTTCTGTTGTTTTGTAAGTTCCTTCTTTAAATATCTATTGTAAGTAATCAGAACACTTTGTTAGATTTCAAGTTTGTTCTGTCTGCAAAATAAAAGAAAATGATAATCCTACTAGAAACGTATTGACATACACTTTGTCTTAGTTTCTCTGTTCCAACGGGGGATAGTGCATAGATTGCCCATTGTGTGGCTTTGTGCTGAACAAACAAACTTTATGTTGTGTTTTTATTGTACTTTTTTTTCACAAATGTCGAAGTAAACTACACTTTTCACCTGGAAACAATCTTCTCGACTAACTTTTAAAGCTATGCATTGTTCATGCCTTTTGTGGATTAAAAGCTGATCTAATAAATTGCTTTTGTTCAACACATTTTATCGACAATTCATAGTTCTTTACTATGGTTCCCAAATATCTATGTTGAGAGAATCATTGAAGAATATGATAAACAAAAAGCAGATCAGAAACATCCAGAAAACAATAACAAAAACAGAAGATTGACAGGGTAACTAAATGGAAACTATCATTGCAAAATGTATTTGATTATTATAGTGTAAGGGATGAACATTTCATTCAGCACTCTGCTAATTGAAAAAGATATAAATTGGTAATATAAAACAACAAAAAAAGACAGAATAACACAGATTTATAAATTTTTGTGCTTACCTTTTAAGTATTTAACAGAAAAAGTCTGAAAATAATTTAGATTCTTACCTGTAGGTACTCATTCAAGATATTAGGATCTCGATTGTTTATGTTTAAACCTCCCATTTTTTGTCAGTAGTTTTAACGACTGAGGCTGTGTGTCTTTAATTAATCGAACAATTTTCGTTAGTTAAAAAGATAAGCGCAAAACTGAGACTTTAAGAAGTTTTGTTTTAGTCGGTTTAGCCAGCAAAGATATCTTTTCACATCACGCAGAAGACTTAAAAGAATAATAAAACGAGACGTAGTCTTTGGCGATTCACATAAGCTGTTTTATTCTACTACGTTAACTCCGACAGACTTAAACTCTCGCAAACTGTCAGATTTAGTTTCAGGAATGTAGTATTGAACCGTTTCTATAGAAACAAAACATGTATACACTTTGAAGGAGTATTGGCATACACACTTTCTCTTGATATAAACATAGATATTTTCACGCAAGATTCTGCTAACAATATTTATTGATTTTCCTAATGCTGGACTGAACGAGCTTCATCTGGTTTACAAGGTATTGCTTTAACTCTCCACCTTACGGGTAGTATTTTAAAAGAATACCAAGCACATATATATATCTTTATTAACAAAACAACCGCGTCAAATGTATTACAGCAGATAATCAACTAAAACTTGGCAAATACGAAAATGTTATCTGAGTAAGAAAAACCTAGATTTAAAGATAACGCCACTAATGTAATTGACAAAAAGTGGTCACAGAGTCTGTTTCTTGTTTTATTATTTGGTTGTGACCTCTCTAGCCTTGATAACTGCTTGGCATCGCCTTGACATAGATTGTACGAGGGACTGAATGTAGGCAGGGGTGAGTTCATGAAGCCACACGCGGATTAGGGCTTTCTGCAGTTACAAGGTTTTCTCGGTTTCTTATCTTGCACTTTGTTGCCCGTTTCCTTCCAACAGTGTTCGATAGGGTTGAGAACTGGCCTGTTGCCTGGCCAGCATATTGCCTTGATCCTCTCCCTTCTAAGACAGTCCTTCACCTGAAACAATGAAATAAAACCTAAAATGTCTTAGCTTAACATCACAATTTGCAAATGGTGTGGCGATTTGGAAGAGCTCTTCAACTCCTTCGATAGCAGCTATACATTTACAGCCAATTCTGAATCAGATTGTAGAATACTGTCGAAAACACAGTATAGAAATTAACGTTTCAAAAACAAACCTGGTTCTTTTTTCAAAATTGATCAAAACATTAAGGAATCCTCCTGAACTATACTTAAACGGAACTCCTTTAAATATTGTCCATCGGCAAAATTTGTAGGTATAACTAATGATTCAAAATTAACGTGGAATAAACATATTACCCAATTTAGGAATAAAGTATGGCAACGAGCAAACTACATTAAGAGATTAACAGGAAAGATAAAGGAGCCACGCCAGAAAACATAATCAAAATTTATAAGCAATACATTTGAGCAGTTATGGAGTATGCCTGTCCTGCCTGGACTAATGCAGCACCAACACACATTAAGAAAGTACAGACCGTACAGAGTAATCACCACAGCCTTCAGAGTACCAAAACAACAAATACAATGTTTACGCATAATTACGCAAACACCAGATTAGTTAAAGACAGCCACTTTTATTGACCATTCCTTTACCTTGATAAAATGTATATAAAAATGACTCATTAACAGAAATAGATTGCTATATCATATATGACGGTAATAGCTCTAAATACCTCTCACCACTAAATATTTACTATAAGAATAACGACCACCTACGCTAGACATAAAAATGTCGCTTAGGATTAAGCATCATTTGTGTACTTAAAAGGGTTGTTATATAGGAAATACGATACTGATTATTTATATTGAAAAAAGTGACGTTTCGCAATGGAACTGATTGTAAATGTATACGACCAAATGAAGACAAATACTTATATGCAACTGTTTGTGAGTGTATATAGCACACTCCGTCACAATACGACCAAATGAAGAGAAATAATTATATGGAACTTTTTGAGTGTATATACAATCAGATTAACACGTTCGCTGCATGTGCCCCATCGGTGGGTTACAGACAATTATATTTCAAAGCCAAATTTCTCTTGTGAGATATGAATTTGGGACACTGTGACTGCTCCTTGGCACCTCTTGAATGTTTAATTTTATTTATACTTAATTTATTATGTAGCGGTGAACGTGTGTAACTCAACATGGGCTCCGTTAATTTGACCGACCACTTGACCTCTTGTACTTGATTAAAGTCTTTATATATTTAAAACGTCTAACTGTCAATATAGTGTGTATATCTTCACAAAATTTGGCAGTCTTTCATTTCATATTATATGTCTTTCACATATAAAAATCACATTTTTTTAGTGAAGTATTTTTAATAAAATTAAATAAAGATTTGTTCATTAATATATTGAGCATTTGTTTTGAATAGTCTGTGTGCAAAGTAATTTTCATGTTAAAATTGAAAATATTGAAAAATCTCAAATTTTCTTTGTGCAATTCCTAAAACCTCCCAAATGCATTTCAAACGTTTTTTTTTCAATAAAACTATATAGTTTATTTGTTGTTTTCTCCACCCTGTCACAAAACGGGATCGGTCAATTCTACCCATCTCGTAACCCCCCCCCCCAAAAATGAAAAAAACCAAAATTCCCTTTTTTTTTTTTTAGAAATGACTAAAAATGGTAAATAAAAATACATTTCCTTTTCCCTAAG